GAGTGGTTGGTCGTGGCCCCGGCTGTGCCATGCCGAGCGACGTCACGGTCGTTGGTTTTATTCTATTCATAAAGGGCTTATCAATCACAGTACAGTGAAATGACTACTTCTCTGTACATCTATTAGGCTGAATGACTTCACAAGGATACATTTCTAATATTCATAGTTTTTCATCTTATATTTTTTTATTTAGGCTACTTATTACTACTTTCCATCAGGTAACATTTATTAAAACATGTCTGCCATCAAATAGCCTAATCACTTTAACATGGCTCGTACATCAGTGAGATATTATATAAGCTAAATTAAAGTATATTTTTGTTGTATTGCAATTTAATTTCATATGTTTAATGTCGAATTAAAAATGTTTAAATACTTTCGCACTGTTTTCTCAAAATAAGGGCAACATTCGTGACGTTCCCCTTTAAATACTGCACACACTCCACTTCCGCATGGGAAGCCCCGCCCAGCTGTGCAGTCCATAATGCTGCGGTGCGACAGCCGGGTCTTGTGATTTTGCCGCCTGCCGTCAAAATGTTCATTACTGTGAAACTTACTGTTCTGCTGCTTGGTCTGAGCTTTTGCTACGGGCGGCGACGCTACCACTTCGATGAAGAGCCTCAACCCGTTCGGGCTTCAAAATACGGCTCTTTGTGGCCTCTGCCACAGGCGGTGAAAATTTCGGAGCAGTCATTCAAGTTAATCAAGAACAGTTTCGCAATTGTTGACTCCAAAGAGTCATCAGCTGGCCCGAGCTGCAGCCCGCTGCAGGACGCGTACTATAGGTGAGAACCTGAAATTCTGACGCTTGTGTTGTCTGTGTTATTACCTTTGAGTGTTTTTAGCTTTTAGTTTGGTGCGTCCCTCGTGTAGTTTGTTGTGTCAGGTGTTGCATTTCGGGACCAGTCACTGCATGATAAACACCTGTGTGTCTCTTTCAACAGGTATTATGACTACATGTTTGGCAGTGCTAAACATCGGGGGCTGAGTGAAAACAGGCCAGGGGGTCCCGCTGAGTTGTCAGAGCTGCAGGTGTGGATCACATCACCTGACTCTGAATGCGACAGTTTGCCCAGTGTCTCATCTGACGAGTCATGTGAGTCTCGTCTCTTCCTCATTGTTATCAGACTTGATCATGATGGTCATTTTGCAACGTCTGCACAGTGATTGTGCAACTCGTGACTTGTTAGATGAATTAGAGATTACCTGGATGGGAAGTACGGATCAACAGAATGAAACCAAATGTTTAAGGTCCTCCCCACCCATAAGACCCCAAACCATATTAACCATCTGTCAAACTCTGACAACGGTGTAAAAGCACACCTGTTTGTGTCCACAGATGAACTGTCAGTGGATCAGCCATATGCTATCCTGAAGGCACCGAAGGTCTGGGGAGCCCTGCGTGGTAGGATTGTGTTTTTTTTGCCTGTTGTTGCACCGATTCAAAGTAAACTGCATGAGGGGAACAACTAACAATCACATGTTCATAGACATAAGTTGAATGTGTACGGTATATTTCTGTGTTTTTGCTATGAAACATGAACATTCACAAGTCTGATGTGGCTTTATACATTCTGTTGTTATGACACATGCACATTCAAAAGCTGTTGATGAAAGTCTGATGTGGCTTTATACATTCTGTGATGCAAACTTCACCCTGCAACATAAAATTACAGTTGGTTATTGTGGAACTTTGCTCACATGTCTAAGGTGGTTTATCGGTTAACAGCAATCTGAACTTTATGGTTTCATAAAAACATCCAAGAACATTATATGATCTTTAGATTGCAAAATGAATTTCTGTTGTTCTTAGGTCTGGAGACCTTTAGCCAGTTGGTGTATGAAGATGAGTATGGAACTGTAAGTGAAAGACATTACAACTGTTTCTTTTGTCATAAGGACATTTTGTTGCATTTAACTCAAGCTGGTTTTATCTGTGCATCTTTTCAGAAAACCATCAATTCAACAGCAATCAGTGACTTTCCCAGATTTGCACATAGAGGCATTTTACTGGACACCTCTCGGCACTTCCTGCCCGTTAAAATCATCTTGGCTACCCTGGTACGTCAGTAAGACTTTAGTTTGTTTTCTCTTTCTCTTTGTTTTATTCAGTATTTAAATTAGTGTTCTTTGTTTCTGCATTTATACAGGAAACAATGGCGATGAACAAATTCAACGTTTTCCATTGGCACATTGTCGACGATCCATCCTTCCCTTACATGAGCCACACATTCCCACAGCTGAGCAAGCAGGTCAGTAAGACTGATTACCGGTGTTAACTCCAGAGGTGGAAGAAGTACTCAGACTGGATACTTAAGTAAAAGTAGCGACAGCACAGGGTAAAAATACTGTTACAAGTCCTGCACTGAAAATGTTAAGTAAATGTACAAAAGTACTAACATCAAAATATATATGGAAGTACCAACTGTAAAAGTACTTCTTATGAAGGCCGGCAAACTTCACATTAAACATGCATCATATTATTGCACAAGTGTGTACATCACATTTGATGTTGCAGCTGGTAAAGGTGGAACTAGTTTTACAGTTTTTCTGTCGCTTTTGTACATTTCTCTAAACATCCCTGATATTTACAAAGCATTAAGAGCATTTCTCAATAATTTGTACAAACAGCACCGCACGATGGATTAGCTGCAAAAGTGTGTCACTTGCTCAAAATGTTTAGTTTATCCCTCAAAAGTAGATAGTTGTGTCAGCGACAATGCTGTGAGAATGACAAGTCCTTGTGTCATAGTTTACGAACATGGCAGTCAGAATGTTTAGTCATGCTGTCAATACAACACTGTAATGTAAAATGTATTTTCATTTTTGATGATGACTGAAAATACACGAGACTGCACATTATCGGTATGACATCAGTTTCAACAGTAGAAAGTTTTACGTTGCTGTACATTTTTGGAAAACTGCAAAAGATTGGACAGTATTTACATTTACGCTTTAACTGTTTTTACAGTAATGTCATTGCAGCAGCTACATGAATGTCCCAGAGCATTTTCAATTTGTTAACAACAATAACGTTGCTTAAATGATGTGGAGGTTGAACAAGTAGTTTAGAGATTTCTGCTCTGAGAAATGTACAAAAGCTACTGAGGAAAAACTACTCCAGTTATAGCACAGATACCTCAAAACTGTGCTTAAGGATAGTACTTGAGTAAATGTACTTAGTTACATTCCACCACTGGTTAAATCGAAGTCGAGTGGCATTTTTCATATGGATGTTGCATTTGTCACGATCCACCTGAAGAGCTCATTCATCCAACTGTTGACAGGGAGCTTACCACCCATACACACACGTGTATACAGCCACTGATGTGCAGATGGTGATTGAGTTTGCCCGTCTGAGAGGCATCCGCGTCATCCCAGAGTTTGACACTCCTGGACACACGGAGTCATGGGGTAATGGTGAGTTGGTAGAGAGAAATCCTGAGTGTCACTGCCCTGCTGTATGTTGGATTCATTGTAAAAAGAAATGCCTGACTTTGAAAGAATCCCTGGAAGCATTCAGTAGTGGTATACCTGAAAACGTTCATCTCCTGTCTTTCCATCTCAGGCCAAAAGGACCTGCTCACACCCTGTTACTCTGGCTCCGCACCCTCTGGCTCCTTCGGGCCAGTGAACCCCATCCTGAACACCACATATGACTTCATGAACAAGCTCTTCCAGGAGATCAGCACCGTGTTCCCTGATGCCTACATTCACCTGGGAGGTGATGAGGTGGACTTCTCCTGCTGGTGAGTGTGTGTGTGTGTGTCACAGTGTCAGAAACCACTCCTCATGATGACAGCACTTAACACTGGCTGATTTTGCTCCGCACTGCAGGAAGTCCAACCCGGACATTCAGAAGTTCATGGATCAGCAAGGCTTTGGAAAAGACTACAGCAAGCTGGAATCATTCTACATCCAAAGGTGGGCTCTTGTGGTCTGATTAAATATGCTGCTTGTTCAGCAGCAGAGCGGTTATCTGAGAGATGTCACCTTTTTTGATCCGACAGACTCTTGGATATCGTCACCACTACAAAGAAGGGATACATGGTCTGGCAGGAGGTCTTTGACAATGGTGTTAAGGTAAGTAAAGAGAAATAATACGTAATACTATATGAAAGTTATTTACCATATATGCTAACTAAACCAAGATGTTTGGGTGAAATTTGAATAAGTCCTTCATCACTATTGTTTGTTTTTCATTCTGTTATAAAAAGAATGATTTGACATTTTGGGAAATAATTGGCTTTCTTGCTGAAAGTTGCAATAAAAGGCCTGCAGCCTGTTAGCTTAGCACGGAATGGAAGCAGCTTGTTTTCACAACTTAATGTGTTGATGAGAGGCCTCTTCAGAGGTGCTGCTAGGCCTAGCTTGTGGTTTTTGGACAGAGCCAGTTTAACCTGATTTTTCTTTGTTTGACAGCTTTTGTGCTGAGCTAAGCAAATAGCTTTTGGTAGCTTCATATTTAGCACATAGACATGAGGGTGGTCACCATCTTATCTATCTGCAACGAAATGGATAGACTATTTCCTAAAATGTCAAACTTGGCTTGTAACAATTCCAGCTAAAGCCAGACACAGTAGTGCATGTGTGGATCAATGATGGGTCTAATGAGATCGGCAAGGTGACAGCAGCAGGATACGCCACCATCCTCTCCGCCCCATGGTACCTAGATTATATTAGCTACGGACAGGACTGGAAGAACTACTACAAGGTTGAGCCACTCAACTTCAATGGTCAGTTTTCATAAATATGCGTCTTATGTCCAATTAGTTCATGTACTGGAGGAACTCTCTTATTTGGGCATGATTTATTGAGACAAAAGTATGGATTTTGTTCAACAGGCTTACATTTAAAAAGTGCACAGCGGTGACAAGGAGAAAAAGACAGACACATGAGGTGAACATGGGGCAGTGTGGTTGGTGCTTTCTGATGTTGTTCACCACTATATAGGCCCAATCCTGATGAAACAATGACCTAATCAAAATACTCAGAATACTCAAATGAGAAGTAAATGAGTAAAAACTGGCACGTGGGTGCACACCTGATCCTGGATCATGGGTTCAAATCCATCAGTCAGGCGTGATGTCATGTTCTGTAAAGAGTTTAAATGGTCCATGAGCAGTTGTCTCAAAAGGGACGCTCGGACCTTTTCGTCTTTAATTAACTACATCTCATTTATCTTGCTGCTACTGATACTTGTATGTGTGCTGTGCAGTTGAAACAAGATACAATTATCCACATTTGGAAAGGAACTGAGCAGCAATACCAGAATGAGATGGCAAGAATTACATCTGCAGGGTACCAGACCCTGCTGTCCACTCCCTGGTACCTGAACCGTGTCACCTACGGCCAGGACTGGCTGGGCTTTTATAAGGCTGACCCGCAGGATTTCAAGGGTTCGTTTCTGCATGATTGATTTAGTGAGATGGTTTTCTCTGCCCATTCTGACTCGTTAATTCCTGTTTAGACAGTGTTTACATAGGGAGTCTACCTCAGGCATATGAATGTTTTATTGTGCTGTAGTTGATCAGACTCATTTTCTTAGCTGCATTGTCTGACGCTTGGCACACGTATCATCAAGTTGTCTGTCCCTCCTGTGGTTTATGTGTAAGCCTGTTGAATGAATGTAGGTAAACATCTCTATTTTGTAATTAAAGAAAAGCACCATAGAATTGTACTTCATTTAAATTATGCATTATATTTCATTCATTACTCTTGTCCAGTGGATGTTGGATGGGCTGTCTGATCTAATCATACAACATTTTAAAACAGGAACTGAAGCACAGAAAAAGCTTGTGGTTGGTGGAGAAGCCTGTTTGTGGGGAGAGTACGTGGATGCCACCAACCTGACACCCAGACTGTGGTATGGCTCGTGATTCCTTAGCATTTATCTGAAAATGTTTTTTTGAACCTCGACATGTGACATGATTGATTTTTTTATTTATTTATTTTTTTTTAAATTTTCCTTCCATCACTGCCAGGCCTCGTGCTAGTGCTGTGGCCGAGCGACTGTGGAGCTCCAAGGACGTGACTGACATCAACGATGCCTTCAGCAGACTGTCCATGCACCGCTGTCGTATGGTGGAGTAAGTTTCTGAAGTCGTTATTCATTTACATCAGTATCAAATTCTATCATATTGTCTTAAAAGATGAGGCTGGTCATTTTCCATATTAATAGTATTTTCAGCAATCCTCATACAGGGACTATATATTAAAACATGTGATCAGCCTTACTCAAGCATTTCCTTTGAAAGTGTGTCATTTTAATTTGTTTTATCACTGGTGGGATACGCTGTAATTACCTCGCTGTCTGTCTGCCATAGTTTTGGACTGTAGTTTCCCTTTTCACGTGTTTCTGTACAAAAAGCTCACAGAAACATGTGAAGGGGGAAACTACAGTCAAACTACGACAAATAGACAGCGAGGTAATTACCAGCTGCACTGAACAGTATCCCACCAATGATAAAACACTTTCAAAAGAGATGCCTGAGTAGGACTGATGTAAATCATATGTTTTAACTCTGTTTACTTGAGGTATTTCTTTTCTTACACCCCACCCTACACTAAAAAATTAAGGAAACCACAGCCTTCGTGTAAAAATGCACCCCAAAGATCATCTAAGGCTCAGATGCAGCTGAGCTAAGTGGAATAGGTATCTTTCAAAGTTAGTTTATTTAGGACAAACCTCCCTTTTTTCGTTCCCTGGATAGTAATTCCCTGCTGAGCTGTGGCGGAGGGATACAGTCTAGTAGTCGCATGCAATTGCTGTTACCAAAACAGTCTTTTTACTCACGTAAATGCTGCCTCTCTTGGCTATCATTTATGATATGATGGCATACACTAACATTTGTTTCTACAAAGCTGACTTAACACCGGTATAACGGTAGAATGTATCCTTCCGCCACAACTCAACAAGAACTACTATGTTGGGATAACAATAGAGAGAACTTTGTCTTAAATACACTAACATTGAAAGATGTTGACTCTGATTAGCTTAATGTGACAATTGATGCTTAGTTTGAGCCTCAAACACTGGTGTGCATGTTTACAGAAAAGGACGACTGTAAAAAGGGAGGGATAAAATACAATGTAGCTCAACCGTCAGGGTCAGAGCAGAGATCAGGAAAAGTTAGTGCAACTAAAACCTAATCTCACATACGTGTGGACACATATGTGCTGTTTGAAGACCAACTTTTTAAACAATCCCAAATCATCTCTCCTTGAACTATATTTTCCTGTTTAAGGCGCGGGATCCCAGCTGAGCCGCTGGTCACCGGCTACTGTACCCACGAGTACAGAGGGATCTGAAAACAATGGGACTTAAGACAACTTGCTGGACGCAGGAAACGGAATCAGTTTCATGTACTGTTATCAGCACGATCTTTATCTGTTCTACAAAACTCAATCACATCTAGTGGAACAAATTTTAAATTTACAGATGCACTTTTTTATGAATGTTTTGATAATTGATTATGAATAAAATGTTGGTTAATAAAACACGGGTATGAAGTAATTGGCTGTCTGTATTGTCCTCTTTCTTGCACTGGATAGTCATAAAATAAATATCATTTTACTGCCAGTAGTCACACCTGATAACTGTTTTAAGTCCTGGAAAAGTCTGCTGGGGCTTTAGCCATGCCTCTGTCACCGCAGCCCAGTGGTCCTGTTGCCAAGCAGCTGCACCATGTTGAGGAGAGGGGATCACAAGAGACCAGCCCTTCTTCTGAGGAGGGTGTTCTGGTCCTGTGAGTTCATGGCCTCATAAGTGTCCAGCTCCAAGGAGAAGGTGGCACTGCCAGATGTCAGTGTTCGCAGGATAGTGGAATATCCCTTTACACGAAAACAGATTTGATTAGACAAACCAGAACCCTACAGACACAATGTTTGAACTGGAGATCAACTTACCATCATCTCAGCCAAGGGCACAGTTGCTAGCAGCACCTTATTGTCATGGCGACTCTGGATGTCTCGGATGGTACCGCGTCTTTGGGCTAGGTCCCCCAGCACAGGACTAAGGTGTTCCTCCCCGACTGTCACCTCTAGTGCCATTACGGGCTCCAGGACCTGGCCTTCTGCTAGCCTCAGGGCCTGCATTCAAACAAACGTGTGGTTTATGTACTGATAGCCCTGTAGTTTACAATTTAAAGGCAGGAACCCACAATGCTTTACCTTAAGCATGCAGTGGGACACGCAGGCTGACACCATGGCAGGTGATGTTCCTGGCTCCATGTTGACACTTTGGATCAGCGTAGATACACCCTGTACAGGGTAACCCAGCACTGGCCCTGAAGATGGAAGAAGGCACTGAAAGCTATTAGTTTGTTTGCAGACAGTTCAAAAGGGCAGGATGTACTGTTCTCAAGTCTCTCATAAAAAAGATCTTTATCTCAGTGACTTTTCCTAATTAAATAAAGCTTAACGTGCACACAGTGTTTAAAGTTCAACAGTTTTCAGGGTCTTATAAGAGAACAAATAGGTTTAGTCAGTATTACCTTGAAGAAACGAGCTGTGCACTCCATTCTCCACTGTATTTTTTATTTCTTGGGAGAGTTTCTCCTCCAATTCTTCTGTGAAAACTAATTCACATGAATCACCAGCAGAGGGGATGTCTACAGGTCTGACGGCCAGCTCCACTGTCACAATATGTCTTTTCTCCCCAACTGTACGGTCCAGTGTATCTGCATCAAAAGATAAGCAGGAAAATTCACACAGGAACATTAACTGGGACTCCCCCACCTAATGCTCCAATTAATAGATGTTGGTTGTACCTGAGGTGGAGGCCTCATGCAGAATGGTCTCCCTGTAAGCCACCTGTAGCGGTCCAAGGTGAGTCTCGATGCCATACTCTCTTCTGATTCGATCATGGATGATCTCGATGTGCAGCTCTCCCATCCCACACAGAATAGTCTGCGGATAGAGAGGAAAGGATATTTAACTGTGGCAGATGCTCTGACCAAATACCATCTCGGCTAATGTAACGATTTTGCAAATATTACCTGCCCAGAATCAGGGTCGACCCTGACTTTGAGACTGGGGTCTTCTCGCTGGAGGCAGTTAAGTGCATTCTCAAGATCTTTCAGAAAAGAAAAAAAAAAAACAAGTGTTTAAGTAAATACAAGGTTGCTGGAGCACATGTAGAAAAACTATATAATTACTGTTGCTGACCAGCCTGTTTGGACATGGTGGGTGGCTCTATAGTGCAGAAGAAGACAGGATCGGGGACCTCCACTCCTGAAAGCACCACACTTGCATGTTCCCCCTGCTTCTTCCCCGTCCCGCTGTCATTTTGGGCTCTATGGGCTGCGGCTGCTGCTGAAGCCTTGGATGAAACAATGGTGTCGCCTGTGACCGTCTTAAGTGAAACAAGGAAATAAACTTTTGAGGGGGAAAGCCTTCAACATAGCAAATATCAAATATGGCGTGTGGTGCTCTACCTGCTTCAGTCCAACAGTTAGTGCAATGTTTCCTGCTGTCATTGAGGGAATCTCTACATGCTGATCAGCAAACGGCACAAGCAGCCTGCTCATCCTCTCACTACAGACATGATACAAATAAAACATTTTAACAAAGCAATAATTTGGGTCAAAATTGATCAACGGGTCAGAGTTCAGTCAGGGTTGTTTCACTACATACGTGCTGTTCCTGTTGATGTTGTGGACAGCAGTCTGTGATTTCAGAGTCCCAGAGTAGATCCTAAGGAACACCAGAGGACCTCGCTGCTTGTCATGGACAACCTTGAAGGCCAGAGCACATAAATCATCCTTGTACCACTGCCTGTGGGATGATAAATGATGAACAGGGCTTATAGTCTGATCAAATGTACACTCACTGGCCATGTTATTAAGTACACCTGTACAACAATCCATTCATGTTCAGAGGTGTGTCTGTATTTTTGTCCTCCCCAGCTACATACAGTACACGAGAGGCTTAGAATATTAGGAACACCTCTGAATATAATGTAGTCCAGTACAACAACACCTTTAACTATGACCTCAATAATAAACATACAATTGAATTTATACATTTATGACAATTTCACCAAAAACAGAACCATTTTGAGCTTCATAAAAACAGATGTTAAGGTGGAAGTGTTGCATTGAATTGCATAAAGGTGTACCTAATAAAGTGGCTGGTGAGTGTATATATGTATATTTTTCGTAACAGCATGAAGAACAATGCTAATATGATTTTAGGGTTTACATAAATGGATCATCCAGCCAACTGCCAATAATTTCCACAAATTATTCACATGCACTATCAGAGAAGATATTTGTAAATCAGTTTTGCTAAACTTCTCAGATATGTTCATATCATTAAATTGCAAATAACAAGGAAAACTACTACACAGCCAACAATAAGTATGCAGAAGAGGAGAGCAATCACACCCATCACTGGATTAAAGACCGCTGACATCAGACAATAAACCCTTATAGGAATAATCTAAAATAATCAAAAGACGAGTGCAGGCCTCCAGTCGCTGCCTCATCGACTTGGTTTTCCTTTCCAAATTAAAACCAACTGCCAACATTCCTTGTGGTTAAGTTCAATCCCAACTAAGTCACCAGACAAAGAATCTTTCCTTTGCAACAGTCCATAAAATTAAAGTAAAGATGAAAATAGTCTGAGTTTATCTCATTGCAGCTTCAGACTAGCAGAGTCTTCCTTACAGGGAGTGTCTCATAGCTCTCTCTCTCTCGCTCCCCCCAACGGGGTCATGGGGAGGCTGGAGCCAATCCCAGCCGGCATCAGCTGGGATTGGCCGTGTCTCATAGCTATGGTTGTTTTACTGCTTACTCATTCAATCAAACAATGTATGAACATGAAGAATAAATAACAAATTACATAATACAACTTAATATGAAACTTGTAAAAACACTATCAACCTATCCACAGTATTGCAAAGCAGAGCAAATACTCAGTGTTATGCCAGTTCTGGCCCAAGTTAGTCATACTGTATGTTAAAGAGTTTACTCACACCACGTCATGGTGTCGTTCATTGGGGGCAGGCAGGTAAGCAGCGATGGCATCTAGAAGAGGCTGAACACCTTTGTTCCTCAGAGAGCTCCCGCAGAGAACTGGAACGCCTTTACGGGCCAGGGTGACCCGCCGCACAGCCTCTTGGAGCTGAGGACACATTAGACCAGTTTACTTTCCACTCACCAGTACCGCTGCTGCTTTATACACTGGGATCATACATTACTCACTTGGACTGAAGAAACCACATCAAAATTGTCACTAAATTCAGTTAACAACAGTTCAGCAAACTCATCATCCAGATCAGCAACCTGGGATTGAGAAGACAAACCTGAAAAAGGTCTGGAACAACTCAAAATGTTATTACTGAAAATGATCAACTTTGTTGTAAATGTTATGGTGTGTACCTGTTCAATTAAAGCCGTCCGAGCCTCCCTGACCTCCTGCAGGAGGTCTGACTCCTTGGAATGGTTGAGAGGTTTGCTTTCAAACATGCGTCCATCATCTCCCATAGATCCTAGCTTCCACATCAGCTTCTGCTTGGTTAATAAGTCGACCACACCTGTGAAGTTTTTGTCTCTGCCAATAGGAATCTGTGAAACAAGATTCATGAGACAAGTAAAATACATGGTGATATACTCTCATTACACACACTTTCTTTATATTGTTTTTCAATTCAGTCATCACAAATTATACAGTAATTAAAAAAGAAGTCTTGACTTATGGATCTTATTATTAATAAACCTGTTCAACCTTTGTTGTAATAACTTACTGTGAACTAATGATCACTAAATTATGTACCTGTATTCTTATCAGTAGTTTCATACCTGCAGAAGGACTGGGTTGACTTTCAGCTTCTGTCTTATGCTCTCAATAGAAAAACCCAGGCTGAAAGAAATAAATTAAAAAGAGTTCCCAGTTAAATATCTAAAAATAATAAAAGAAAAAACAAAGTGTATTAGTAGGAGAGTTGAGTTAACTCACTTGGCTGCAGGTTTATCCATCTTATTCAGGAAACAAACACAGGGAACGTGGTGCTTCTCTGCTTGTCTCCACACAGTCAGAGTCTGAGCCTGTTGGTGTTTTCAGAGCAAAGCCAATTAGATAATCCAACTGTCTATTCAAACAAACTCAAAGAAGCAGTGGGTTCACCTCCACACCAGCAGAGGCATCAATCACTGCAACAGCTCCATCAAGAACACGAAGTGCCCGCTCCACCTCCAGAGTGAAGTCAACATGTCCTGCGTTCATAGAGAGAGTCAAATTTGAGTCTCTACTTCTTCTTACTTCCATTAGAAGTGTTTATTCTTAAAAGGATCTTTTTACATAATATCTCTACCTGGTGTGTCTATAAGGTTTATTCTATGGCCCTTCCAATCAAATGTGACTGCTGCTGACTGTATGGTAATGCCACGCTCTCTCTCTTGAGCCATAAAATCTGTGACTGTATCCCCATCATCTACATCTAAAAGTAACAGAAAAAGAATTACACTGACACACAGAAACAAACAAACAAACAAAAACAATCTATAGGGTAATAAGGAACAAAAAACATCCACATACCTCCCAGTGCCCTTGTATAGCCGGAGTAATAAAGCATCCTCTCTGTGGTTGTCGTCTTTCCTGCGTCGATGTGGGCCATAATGCCAATGTTTCGGATCCTGTGTGTACAGTATAGAGATTAACATGGAGCTGAATCTACAGGGCATTTCAAAAACTGTTTGCAGAAGGCAATCACTTACTTGGATATGTCAGGGTTGACGACAGCCCGCAATGATTTGACATCATCTATGACAGTGAACATGAATGATAATGATAATCTGACTGAATCTGCGATTTTACCAGGCTATCCATTTCTTGATTTAGGTCCAAAGTAAACAAAAAAAGCACATTGCAAGTTTTACATCTATTTGATCAAACAGCACCCTTAAAAAAAGAGTACATGTTCAGGTTCAAATTGAATTTTTAGACTTTGGAAACAACAGCTGGCAAATTTCATGTACTAGTAGTTCTGGAGCTTTTGATCATATTCGTGTGGTCTGGCAAATGTTCTTCTAATCACTGATTTGATATGTTCTTCAGATGAACTTCTGTGTGGGGACAAAATGTCATATGATACTAAATGCACCTTGAGGTTGTTAGACTACTTTGTCAAAATATAAGATTTAATGCATAAAAACTCCACACTCGTCTGCAAAAATTAAACCAGCAGACATATAGTTTTATACCTGATGAATGATGAACTGAATCCTAAATGTTTTTATTTTTTTATTATTATTTAAACCAGGAAAGTGAATCTAACTATGTAATTGGCAGCCGTGTGCCTCAGTTACATCAAATAATTTGCGCCCTCTCCACCAGGTATTAGCAGCTTTTCATTCAAGATGAATTTGGAGACACAAACCCCTTTAGAGAATAAATTAGCACTCATGCCTAACACTGACAGCGCATAACAACACACAACAAAATTCCTGGTGTGTCCAACAGACCTGGCCAATAAAGCCGATTCTGATTCTGAAATTGATTAGCCTACCTAAATTTGAAGCAGCTAGTTTCCTGTTACTCAATCAATTAATAAGCTAGTAAAAACGTCCGCCAACGGGAGTTACAACGTACCTTGACAAAAGCTGTATTGTCTTTTTACATGGCATCTCACTCTACATCTGAGGCACTGGAGCCCTGCACTTAATAAAGACCTTCCCTGTGAAGGACAGCGGTCATATCACGAAGTCAACATGATGTAACACCAACAGTCATCACAGACAGCACAGGCGGATTATATCTTACCCAAAGCATCCTACTAAATGCCCGAAAGCCTCGGACACGCATATTTAATGGCTGTTTATCTTCCGAGATTTTCCCTTAGAATCAGGCAAAGCGTCAGGTGAGCCAAGGTGCAGGAATGTTAGATAAAGAGAAGCCTGGTAGGAGCAGTGTTAGCCCATTTGCTATTGCAACACTAGCACAGTGAAAATAGACTATCGTTGTCATCAATAGATTACAAATTAAGGTATCCAAAACTGGAAATAGTAAAACAAGTTACAATATCCTACAAAAAAGCATAATCTTTTAAAATGTCAATGACTATCATGCTCTGATGAGGTACGGCTCCAAAATACATCCCTAGGAACAAGCGTTTGAGGCTTTCGGTTCCGGATATATAGCCAAACACTGGTTCCATTAATAGTGGGAACTTTAAGTTACTTTTAATTGTATAAAATTGTGTCATTTGTGCAATTTATGTAATTAAATATTGACCAGTATCACATCGCTGTAAGCCTTTGTTAAACCGAAGCCGTTTACCAACGGACAACCCTTTACATCACGGTGACGTACTTCCTTTTATTACTGGCTTCGGGGAAAGAACATCTGAAAGTCCCCAGCCTTGAGAACAAAAACATCAAATATTGAACATCTTTTCCAGCTACAGGCTTTAAGAATAGGTCACTGTAACACGTAACTCCTTAAACACAAAATGGTAAGAAAGCAAACATTTTAAATCCCGTTGTTTGACTTTTATCGGGCTATTTTACATGTTAGACTTAGCGTTGGTTTACATGTGGCAGGGTCGCTGCTCTGCTGTTGTGTATAAAGTGTTCAGACGGAACTAGCTCACCTTCATTGACAGAGGTGCAGTGTAAATATGTGTATGGCCATTAAAGTTTGGCTTTTATGAAAGTTACCAGTTTTATATGCTGTGGTTTTCAGTTCTGGACATCTCAACGGTGTTTCATTTATCTGAATGCCTTTAAATGCAACATCCGTGTGACATTTTTCTAGTGTAGATTTGATTGAGAGCCCCTACTATTTATATATAACCTTTTTCTAGTGTAGATTTGATTGAGAGCACCTACTATTTATATATATATATGGTTATAAATTTTGCTTTAATTTTGAAATTTATAAATAACTTGGGCTGCAATTAAGTTATTATTTCATTATTTTTTGTGTGTCAGGGCATGGTTTTATTTCTCTGAACCAAAAGTGCCATCTTCAAATCCCCACATTTGAGAAGTTGGAACTAGAGAATTTTGGGTATTTTTCTTTGTAAAATGACTGAAACATCTTTTTCTGTTGATTGACTGCTTCATAATAAGGCTCTAGAAAATATTTTAATCAATGGGAATCTTACAGTTTAAATTAGTTAGTAAAAATGAATGCAACATTTAAGGGTCACTATTAGAATCCTGTTTGTTGCATAAGAGTTTACCACCTTATCCAAGAAAAAATGTAAACTTGACCAACATAGCCTGTTTTAATGGATGTTAAACCTACACTGTAAATCAGGCTGCCATGCTGCTCCACAATTGATGATCTTTATCTGATATTCCTTTTGTAGAAATGAAAGCTGTGAATTATGTTTCATTTTCTTGTGTAGCCCCAGAACGAGCACATCGAGTTACACCGCAAGCGGCACGGCTACCGTCTGGACCACCATGAAAAGAAAAGGAAGAAGGAGAGCCGTGAGGCCCATGAGCGGTCCCACAAAGCCAGGAAATTGATCGGTTTAAAGGCCAAACTGTACCACAAACAGAGACATGCCGAGAAGATCCAGATGAAGAAGACGTGAGTATAGACGAAGGAACAACTGAGTTGGTCTTTTTTTTTAATGCTGACCGTTTTAAAAATAAGATTACACCAAATAAAAATCAAGTGTTTTGACTTCTATCTTTACAGCATCAAAATGCATGAACAGAGGAAGACTAAGCAGAAGAATGACGACAAGACCCCAGAGGGAGCAGTGCCAGCCTACCTGCTGGACAGAGAGGGACAATCCCGTGCTAAGGTCCTCTCCAACATGATCAAACAGAAGAGGAAAGAGAAGGCTGTAAGTATCCACTGAAAATTGTTAGCAGGCTGTCTAGTAACATTCCACAGGGAAGACTTCCTAGTGATACACGTTTGTGAATCAGTTTGTACACACAAGTGTATAATGTTTTCTTTAGGGTAAATGGGAGGTGCCCCTGCCAAAGGTGCGTGCCCAAGGAGAGACAGAAGTCCTTAAAGTCATCAGAACTGGAAAGAGACAAAAGAAAGCCTGGAAGAGAATGGTCACCAAAGTTTGCTTTGTCGGCGATGGCTTCACCCGTAAACCTCCAAAATATGAACGTTTCATCAGACCCATGGTGAGGTTGCAGTATATTAAGAGCTGAAATGTGACACTCATGTGACATTCTACACTAACTAATCCATGTGCGTTTAGGGGTAATGTTAAAGTTAAATTGTGCACTTCCCTTTTAAGTACCTCACTCCTAATGCCTTTCTCCTGGTTCTGCTTTAGGGTTTGCGTTTTAAAAAGGCTCATGTCACACATCCAGAGCTGAAGGCCACATTCTGCCTGCCCATACTCGGAGTGAAGAAGAACCCTTCCTCACCTCTCTACACCTCTCTGGGAGTCATCACAAAAGGAACCGTCATAGAGGTTAACGTCAGCGAGCTGGGCCTGGTCACACAAGGAGGAAAGGTTATCTGGGGTGAGTGAGGGTCAGTTCATTTACATGCACTGCACTAATCACTTTGTTCTCTGCTTTCAGGACCAATTCAGTAAAATCGGTGTAAATAATAAACAGTCTCATTAAGGCAATTACTAATGGACCCGGTGATGTGTATCTTTAGTTGTTAGCATGCATGTGCTTGTAAAAGATGCCAAATGGTAGAAATAACATCAGCTTGAAAAATGTTCTCTCCTGTCCAACTACTGAATTGCAAGGTTACTATGCACAATTTAAAAAAGATAATTACATTCAGTCGGCAAACTTTTCAAAATGTAATAATGTAGTGCCGACAATGTGGTACATGACAAATCTGTAACTAAAATATTTTGAATTTCTAGGTAAATATGCCCAGGTGACAAATAACCCAGAGAATGACGGTTGCATCAATGCAGTTCTGCTGGTGTAAGAGTCTCCACCTTTACACAGACTGTGCCTGGTAACTCAGTTTACACGAGGAGCAAAGATCACCACAAAGCAAGACATGACAAGTAATGGGCTTCAAATCACAGGAGTGTCAGAAGATCGCCGATGATGCATCTGGCAAAACTGATTTTGGAATGAAAGCTCTCAAAGGAAAAGATGGGGAGATGAATGTGTTTGATATAAATAAAGTTAATATGACAGCAGATCATTTTGTGAATTCATTTTCTTTGCTTAGTTGCAAGAATATACATTTTAAAATCATAGAAAAGCAGGGCAATATGAAAAGCATGGGTTGAGCAATCCTAAAAAATGAATCAAGGTTAATGTTTAATGTTCAGTTAATGCTATGACAAACATGCTCTTTTACTGAGTTTACTTAATTTCGGATACATTCTTTACCGCAGCCCAAGCCCCCAGAGGCTCAGGAACATAGCCTGTCTGCGGTGGGAGGACTTTTTTTTTTTTCTTCTTCAATTTAGCCTTGAACCTAAAGTTGCACTTTGCACAGTAGTGTTTAACTATTTATTTCAGTCAACATTTTCAGCTTTCATTATATTATAGTCCTGTTGCCTAAAGCTCTGCACCATCACCCTGTGGCTACAGGCATCAGAAACAGCAACATAAAGAAAATATTCGACTTTATGTGGGATCTGTTTTTCTGTTTGGCATTTACAACAAGAAAACAAATTTTAGCTTTACATCCATCCAACAGTGTTCAGTCACATGAAAGTATGAGTAACTGTATAGTAAATGTTTCATTACTTTTTTATTGTAGTTTCGATTGAGAAACCAACAGAACATTTCATGTGACTTAACACTTCTTCCTATAAAGACAAAATATAGTACAGAAAGTACTATACTTTGAAAAACCTTTTTTTTGCAAGAGTAGATCAAAAAAAAATTTGAACTATTTTGGCAATATACAATACCATTACTATTTTGCATGTTTAAGAATTAGAAGGTTTTGGTAAGGATACTATCCTGAGTTTATGCACAGATGATGCTGCTCCAGTCACAGTAGTCTGTTAGATAAAACCTGGATATTTCACAACAGACTATCTGTAATATCCATAATATATTACTCATGTAATTACTCCCCGTACAGGCCACTTCCCTTTGGGGAGGCGACAGTGGTGCAGTGATAGAGCAGTTGAAGGTTCGAATCTCAGTGCCAGCAGTCCACGTGTCGAAGTGTCCTTGGGCAAGACACTGAATCCCCCCCCATTGGTTAGAACCATCGGTTGAGGTGGTGGCGCCGCAGATGTCTGCCATCGGTTCTGTACTGGCAACAAATTCCTTGTGTGCAACATACTTGGCCAATAAAGGTGATTACCTTTATCCTTATGTGTAACAGAACCTGTAATGTTACCAAATTAGATATTAAAAGTATGTCTGCACAGTATAGAAGGACCATCTTGCTACTGATTTTAATATAATAAATACTGTATAAACAGTTTTCTGCATCAAGTTTTGCTGTATTTGAACAGTGAGACTTTTGTTTGTGTTTATTTACAAGCAGCTCTGCTGTGCCGACTACCCCACCTCATTCACCAAGTCCAACATTGACTGTTAAAGGACTCATATATACAGTGGCTGTGTAAAAGAATTCAGTAGATTCTAAAAAAAGAATTGTGAAAATAAGAAATAAGGCAGGTATTTTTAAAAAAACCCACACATGGAGTACACTTAAAACAAATGCAAACAGTGATAAGCCACAGTTTCATTGACAGGACACCGCTAGATACAAGAGGCTCCCAGGAAAACACCATTATCTCAGAGAGACTCAGCGTAGTGTGACATAAAAGTGGAGATCAACCCCCTTAACCTTTCACAGCGGATAGCATTCCCATCTTATTTTTTCATTCAACTGACACTGTGCACTTTTATCAGCCCCTTCATTCAGTGTAAACAAGATACAACATTGGAGATGACCTGTTGATATCCACCTCTGGAACAGATAACTCCATAGAAAGCAGTCCGTCTTCCTTTTTTAGTCATTTGGCTAAGAGTGTTTGTCTTTAAAAAAATTTAAAAATGTACATAGTGATCGAATAGTGTCCATCATACGCTTACATTATGTGTAGTAATCCAACTTGCTGAATATCGTCTTGCAGCCTTTGACAGAGAATATTCTCTCAGATTTGGGGAAGTAGACTAGATCTTTGGCCACCTTGTCTGCCACGTCCTTGTCTGGCTGAGGTTGTCTGGCTTTCATCTCAGCCAGGACACACTGGACCACGTGTCGGTACTCTAGGGGCAGGAGTGGGACGAAGAAGTCCACCAGATTCTTGTCAATTAGACTTGTATGAAAAAAGCCACCTACAAGAAGAGATTAACAAGAGTAGTTAAAAACAAAATCCATGTTTCTCATCAAAGCTGGCTTCTGAATGATACTGACTCAATAGGACTATATACGACTTCTACTCACTTTGGTCGTCATTGAACACAGAGAGAGTGACTAATGTCTCCAGATCTTTGAGCTCAATCTCTTTTCGACTTCGTCCTGCTTTCCAGAACTCTAAAGTTTTCTGTACGATTTTGTCCCCCCCGGCATTGCTATGGTGAAGATCAGAACAGGAAATGTATTAGAATTTGCCTCATATTATCTGTTGTTGCCACACTGCTTTCCATTTATCTAAATAAATAAATAAACATAACACATATTATATTTTCTGAGCCTGTTATCATACTGTGAAACTCTCAAACCATTACAACCCTAAATGTGTGTTCAGTAATCTACAAATAAAATCAGGATTTACAAATGTCTACATACAATTCTGTGTGCAGTTCTTTAAGATCTATTTACAGATCATGCACAAGTCACGTGACACATGCATCACAGTATGCCCACGTGTGACGTTTTGAGAGGATTTTTTTGCTCTTTGACAACCTTTAGTAAACGATTTTATCTTTTCACCTGAGGAAGATGAAAATGGCTTTTCGAAAAGAAACTCCTTCCAGCTTGTCATAGTAGTCCAGGTATGGCTTAATGCTGTCAATTAAGCCAGGATGCATCTTGTCCATCTCATCAAAGATGAACATGGAGCGTTCACAGTTGCTGACGTTGCCTTTGATCCACTGCTGTAACTGAGACTGAGGAGAAACGGTAGCAGATTTAATTCATACAAAAAATGAACAAGACTATGTTACTGTGTTTCAAATGAGAGTAAAATTAATCTACGTATTTGTACTCCATACCTTGTAGATATGATTTTGACTTGGATGTGGGAAGTGAAGTGTAGATGTGAAAACATGAACAAAGCTGCTGTGCATTCCCTCCTTATAAATGTTTTCAGCAATCAGTTTGCTAACAAAGTTCTTCCCTGTGCCAGTCCATCCATGCAGAGAGAGCACCAGGGGCTTCTTGGGGTTGTCATTGCTCATGAATCCAGTCACAGCTTTTAAGATGATGCGTGATGCAATGTGCTGTCCAAACAGTTTGTTTTCCAGGTCAACTTCAAGACCTAGAGAGTGCACAACACAGTCAACAGGATTAGAGGCTGGAAAGACCTCACTTAAAACTGTTTAACTGAAGCGGCAAGCCTTGCTTTAGGATTCATTTATTAGGCGGCAGCTTAAAACAACATGGCATGATTTATTTATTAGGCGGCAGCTTAAAACAACAGAAACATTCATTACCTACATCACTACCTACACTGCTACATGACATTAAAATGATATATCATTGTTGTTCCACTGGTAGATATGCCACTGTGTAAAGCTTGTATCTAATGCCTTAAGTATAAGCTTGCATTCAGCATGCCCTACTTGGAGAGTTTGACTATTAATGTCAGCTATTAGCGAGCATGATGTGAAAAGGCTCTTAATTATTTGCTTACTTATTCATTTATATACAATCTGGTGCATGCAATGAAACATTATGCCTATGGCTGGTGGCACTGACCTAATGTTTTCATGTGTCACATCTTCTACATTTTCAAGTCTTGGAACAAATTCTACAACTATTAAAATGCCTCCAAGAGGGAAAAGAGCTAATAAATCAGAAGTGAACGAGAATGTTGAGGCAGAAGAAGCAGATGTATGTACACCGCACTGTTAAGCCAACAACAAGACAATTTCAAAGGTTCTGTGCAACTACTTATGGAGACAAATAACAAGAGACTCGACGACATGACCAGAGAAATACAGGAGATAAACGAGTTTGCAGTTTACCCAGCGAGATGTGGATGTGATTAAAGCAGCCATGGGTGAACAGAAAATACAAACCAAGGAAACAAGGGATGATGTCTACAAAACTTGTGAGAGTCTAATAGCCATAATGTATAAAATGGAGCATTTGGAAGTACGGTCCAAGTGAAAAAACCTGATCTTCGAGGGAATCAAGGAGTCAGCTGGAGAAAGCTGGACGGATGCGGAATGTAACGTGAAGGAAATATTAAAGGATAAACTGCAAACTCATTAAGAAATTGAGATGGAGCGGGCTCACAGAGTCGGGAAACCTTCTGATCGGGGACCGAGGGCGGTGATGGTAAAGTTGATGAAAGAGAAAGATAAGGCACACATACTGCAACAAGCAAAGAAGCTTAAAGGATCTAATATTTATATAAATGAAGATTACACCGAGTCTGTGAGGAAGAGAAGAAGGGAGTTGATGCCGATGTTAAGGGAGGCCAGGGGAGACATCGCGTTCCTGCGGTATGACCGACTAGTGACCCGACCTCGGAACCAGAATCCAGGACCCATGACCAGCACGCCGAGGACCAGTATGCCGAGACAAGGAGAGTATGAAGGGGTCGCTGGACCCTCAGCTGTATGAAGAAACACGCAGGTATATTGATATCTGCGAGGGCAAATGAGCGTTGGAACTAACAATTAGCAGGAACAACAACAAGTATGACCCACGTACGGAATGAGGAAAGTGATTTGCTACAGAGATTAATAGTTTTTGAGGGACTGGATATGGAACTGAACACAATTGGAGACACTGAACAACATTATTATGAATCGGACGATGACTTTGACCCTGAAAAAA